CTGATCTGGAATCCACATCACCTTTGTAGCCGGATAAGGATGATCGAAGCTACCATAGTCGATAAATTCACCAGCGTCTTCGTCAAGTTTCACTATTGAAATCTATAATCAACAAGAAATACTTCTACAGTTCCACCTAATTTTTGATACTCTAATGGATAACAAAATTTTCAAATCTAAAAGTGACTAGCTGATGTTATTTACGTTGTAACAAATGTCTACCTTTCGCTTTCAGTATTGTAGTATTATAAATTAGCATTTTTATTTGACTTAAAATTTCAACAGGCGCTCGCTTGTTTCAAAACAAATTTTACCGTTGTTACAAAAACAAAATTTCCCAACTCTTAGTGCCTTAGCAAATTTACATAGGAACAAATATTCTTTTTCTCAAAATGAAATAAAGCAAAAGCGACAAAACCTTATTATTGTATTCCTCAATGAAGCTAGCTAATGCCAAGCGAAACTTCTTTGATGAGTCTGGATGCTGAGACCAACCGGTAGCATACAATGTATGTGGTGCTTCATATTTGTAAACCTCTTTGTGCTTAGAATTCGTACTCGAAACTCCACCTGCAACAGATAAATGAGATTATCATTTCTTATTGTATAAAAATTATTGCATTTATTTTGTCAACAAAATAGACATAAAACTTGCTGTTTGAGGTGAAAAGTTTCCATTACACGCTAATGATATGATCCAAAATATCATCAAATATACAAATGTTATGTTAGACCTTAGAAATCCAGCTTACTGGGCTGATTGGATCCCATTTGAACAATTTCACTGCCCATAAGTTGTTGCATAACGTGAGATAAATGTTGTGTGATTGCCATCAATCTTAAATACCCAAATTGCCAACAATCTTGCTTTACTATTGTCCTGCAATACAAAAAACAGCATAAAAAACTTAAGGAAAATTGAAAATAACAGAACTAAAATAGAAATGGGAGATAATGAAGAAATTCCAATCTCCGATATTTGCTCAATTAACACAATATTAATATGTTCTTCATTTACCGATGAATGCTCAAGAATTCGTAGAAATTAAATAAAACAAAAATTTGAGTGAAAGAAAGCTTAAACAAATCATTTAATTCAGATAACTGAAGTAACCATTCGAATGATAAACAGACAGAAGGTAAGAAATCAACAAGCAAAAAACTTTTGGTCTTTAATATAAATTATTGCAAATATTTCACATTCACAGATACATTTGAATTTAAAAACCCTGAAGTGTTAAGCATTAAGAAATATTAATGAATAAATATGTTATAATGAAAGCAAAGAAACTGTAGAGATTTTCATCATTAATTTGATTATATATA